ATATTCCAAGATCAGGCCTATCATGAGCCATCCTAAAATATCTCCTATCATGATACTGCTCTTGATTCTTCTCCAAGATGAAATTTCTACCTGCAGAGACACTTTCTGGGGCCAGACAATACTAATGTCTCTAGAAATCTGCTATCAGATGCCATCTGGAAGGAGACGGGTATATAGGACATAGTACCCAGATGGCAATGTCACTTATATCCCATTGACCAGAACAAGCTGCTAAGACCTCCCCTGGGTGCATGGAAGTGTGAGAAAAATGTTTATCCTGAGGGGCCATGTGGGTGCCAAATGATCTATTTCTATGTAAAAAGGCGTGGCAGTTTTTATAAAGTTAGACCTACCCAGCGATTCTACTCTTATGTGTTTACTCTAAAGAAACGAAACAAGTTCGCACAAAGACTGTAAGTGTCTCAGTTTTGCAAGACGAAGAGTTCTGAAGATGGGTTAATGTGAATGTGTTGGAACATCCCTGAACCATAAACCTTAAAAATGGTGAAGATGGTGCTATGTGTATTTTACCACAATTTTTAATATATTTTAAAAATTGATTTCAGAGAGGAAGGGAAAGGAAGAGAGAGATAGAAACGTCGATGAGAGAGAATCATTGATTGGCTGCCTCCTGCACACCCCTATTGGGAATTGAGCCTGCAACTCGAGCATGTGCCCTGACTGGGAATCGAACCATGACTTCCTGGTTCATAGGTCGACACTCAACCACTGAGCCACTGTGGCTGGACTTACCACAATTTTTAAAGAAGTCAACATTGACTTCTTGTGTTATCTTTCTGTATTTAACTTATGGAAATTCAACTACAGGCAAGTACCCCTTACTTAGTCATGACCTTCTTGCCTCTCTACCCATTGAAAACCAAACTTTTGCCCCTAGTGACCTTTCTTTCCTTTTTTATTTTGCCAGGCCCCTATATTTAAATTCAAATGCAAGATGATGCTTCATTATATCTCATTTTTTTCTCCCTAACCATTTTTTAAAAATATATATTTTTATTGATTTTTTACAGAGAGGAAGGGAGAGAGATAGAAAGCTAGAAACGTCGATGAGAAAAACACCAACCAGCTGCCTCTTGCACACCCCCTACCGGGGATGTGCCCGCAACCAATGTACATGCCCGTGACCGGAATCGAACCTGGGACCTTTCAGTCCGCAGACTGACGCTCTACCACTGAGCCAAACCGGTTTCAGCTCCCTAACCATCTTTTATTGCTGAGGAAATCAAAGTACTGCTGAGCAGCAGGAAGATGGGTTTGTTTGGCTTTTAGACCACATATAGCCCTTAGGTGTCACAGAAAATGCTTTATGCATAAACTGATGAAGTAAATCACGAGAGCTCCACATTTCTCTTTTTGAACCACCAAAACACAGGAAAAATGTGTTTGCACTAACTCAGTATAATGCTGTGTGGGGTAGAGTTGAATAAAAGTTGCATTTGCGTTGCCCACAGAGAGGGGTGTCTAGCAATGTAGTAGCAATGGCTTCCGCAAAAAGGCAGAGTACCAATCAATCTTTGAGAACTCTAATCCTGATTCTTGTAAATACTGATTCACAGACAATTGATATCCCACCATCTTGATATGGAGACCAATCCTTCATACGCCTAAAGAATACACTTAAGACAATGAATTGTTAGCTCCCTTTAAGTTATATACGATTGAAACGAAAAACAGTTTCATACCCTGTGCATTTGTATGTCAAAGCACCCAACAGCTCTTTGCCCACAGGAAAGAGTCATGGTTAAATGGTTATTGAATTCAGAATGTCCTTCTTCCCAATCAGTGAGGTTTAATATATTTCCAATTGAAATGCCTAATAATTTTTCAGCATTAGTAAGCCTTTAAAAAAAAATCAATTTGGGGATGTATTGATGAGTTCACAGCAGACACTAGTACATAAATGATAAAGAAAATACTGGTAAATGAAGCATGCTTATTCAACACACCAGTAGCCATTGATAAAATGTAATTTAATTTAATCATTTAAATTTACATGGTTAATGTACAAGAGCATTCTTTCAAACCACAGGTTAAACACATACTAAAGAGCAATGCTGTTTGAGGGGCAGAGCAACTCTGGAAAACTCTGCTGTCTGAAATGAAAGCAAGGCACTCTCCACTAACAGCTGGTGGATTCCTGACTTCCGCCTACAGGAGGCCTCTTCACGCGAGAGCTCTCCCCCGCCCCGGGAGGAATCACCTGCTTTAATTCTTGCTGTCCTCTTCTGAGCTAGTTCGGTCATCCACTCGGTATAAACTTGTGTCCACATGAAGACAAAAAGAGTAGAGTTGATGGATGGCCTGGGAGTCTCCCCAGGCTCTCATAGTTGCAATGACTATGGAAGACAGAAGAACGCTGGCTATCTTTGTTTTCAGCATTAAGTGTCTGGGCCTCTCACTAAGAATCTTCTCCATTGCTTCCAACCAATCGATATTATAATTAAAAGGTCTTCTTCCTTAAATCTGATGGGTGCAAAAATGAAAAGGAACAGCATTCCTCTAGAGCTCTGTGTGTGTTTTCTTTTTCTTTTCTTTTTCAAACATGACAAAAAAAACCAAACAAGGACTGACTTTCCAATACTAATGGTGCACCAAAGGATTATGTATGCACAGTACATCTAACTCATTCAAATTCAACTTGAATTTGGTCTGAAGCTACCTTATAGGAAATGTTAGCTTTCCTGATATTGAATAATGTTTATTATGTTCACATATAAGCTGAAAAAAAAAGTAATGCAGAAAGTACTACTTTACTCATGGTTATTATTAGGTAAAATATAAGTATTTCTGGTTAGTTTAAAAAGCCTGTTTTCCTATAGATGAAGTAAGTTGAGTAAAAAGACTATGGAAAAGAGACTTAGGTCCTAGACTTGAATCTGGTACTAGCTCTTAGACCTTGGTTAACTCTTTACCCTTTCCTGGGTTCATTCTCTCCTCTATGAATTTTGGGGTTGGGATGGACTAGCTGACAAGTCAGGTCCTTTCCAAGTTTTACCATTCCAAGATCCTAATATTTCAGATGCTATCATCTTGATATAAAAATAATAATCTTTCATAAAAGCTCACATAAACATAATATATGATCAACTGTCAGAATGACTCTTGGGGGGAAAAAACATATATGGTTTGCTATCTGGATTCCTCTTTGCAGCAGTTAGGCAATTCATTTGGCATCTGTTTGATTGTATAATTTAATGACAATATAAACAGCATAGTTTTGTTATTTTTCCTTTAAAAAGCAAAAATGACTCAGAGCTAACAAAAACTACTATGACATCAGTTTGACATTCAAAGTTGGTTTCTTAGCAAAATGGCCAAACATATTTTGACTTGGTACAGAATATATAATATAAAGACTTTTAGACTAGAAATCTTCAAACATTATATTTGAATTTAGCAAAACATAAGCAAAATTTTTAATATCAAAGTGCTAAACAGTACTGCCTTAAAAGTCACTGCAAATGAACCATAAAATAACCGCATGGGAAGTAACATTTATTGTACAAATGGTTAATAAAAAGACACATTATAAATATATATATGTAACCTGCTATATTTATATATATTTGCTTATTTAATTTCTAGTTGGCGTATCCCAGTCACTGTGAACACCCCATTTAACTCAGCTTCCAGGAGCTGGTGGTCTCGCAATAAATACAGGCAAAGCTATTACAATATAACGTGCATACAAATGTTTTATACAAATAAGAACACTAGGCAACAAATTATCTCATAGGAATATGGCATTAAACAGTATAAACATACAAAAGGGAGTACGAACACGGAATGTTGAAACGCAGCCCATGAATCCTTCCCGGTACTCACATTCATACTACTTGTTAAAAAATAAGACTTGCTTACTCTCCATCATTGTCTCTGTCACTGATAACAAACATTAAATTGTACATATTAAAAACCTTATTACCCCTGGTGTTTACCCTGTGTGATCCAGTTCCTATTTTTTTTTTTTTTGCATGTTCTTACCTAGGGACCAAACACGTGAGACTCACTGAACACAGCTGGGCTTCTGCATGACGGTGTCCGTCAGTTGCTGTAACTGAAGGAAGTTGAGGGAACTAAACAGTTGTATGCCATCCATCTTATCATCTGAGCCCCCTTCCGGAGAGATGGACAGCAAGGGTGGGGATCTGGATCCGTAAGAATGGCCTGAAATATTGGATGGACCATACCTCAGAAGGGTTCTATCTAGAGGGCAGGTAGACAAAAACCTCTGCTAGGAAATTAGCACTTGTCCTTTGCTAACGTGCCTCCTTTTTATTTCTGTATAAAATAAAGGAGAGCTAATAGACAAGACGTAGTAAGACAGCACTTTAAAAATTGCACTTGTATATGGAAGCGAACAGCCATTATCATTTTGCGATGTCTGATGTATAGGTTATCGTCCATCTTTCACCACTGGTTAAAATATAAAGGAAGAAAGAAATTAAGATGAGGGGATTTCTGCCTTGTTTGCACCACATACGTACCCTTTGATACAGGAAAGTATATTCTAAAGCGATCATCTCAAGACAGGTCCTACCCTGGCGAACAACCCTTGGCTGTTCTTGTTTTTTAATACAAAGAAACTATAATTGTATCCTCCGGAAACAGTTTTCAAACAGTTATGCTATCCTTTTTTTTTTTTTCTTCCCCCTGCTGGGATAGCATCATCCAAAAGTGCTTTGTTAGCAATTTCTTAAAAAACCCTCATGACCTATAACCCCTTCCCCACCCCAAACCCAAGCCTAAATATAAAACACAACCCCAACACAATACTCTGCACGTTTTCTGGCTTTAGGTTGTAAGGAAAAGTGCCAGAAGAAAAAAAAAAGAAAAAAGTCTTTCATTTTGTCAGGAGCTGCTTTTTCCCCCCCCTCTGAAGTAAGGACAGGAATGGTAGGTGTCCAGACCCCTCCCTTTGCTGCTCAGCAAGCAGCTCGCGGGCAGAGGCGGCGGCTCCCTGCTCAGGCGGCTCCTCCTCAGAAAGGCAGGGTGTCCAGGAAGAGCTTGTCGATGATGGAAGGTGGGGACACCAAGTCTTCCAGCTTCAGGTAGAAGATGCGCTGGAGGCCCAGGGTGCAGATCTTGCGCAGTTCTACCAGGGCTCCCAGGACCTTGGGCTCCGGGGGCTCCAAGGCCTGCCCCTTACTCTGGTGGTCCTTCAAGCTGCTTGTGATCTTGTTGCATAGCTCCTCCACTCTCTTTGGTTCTTTTAACCCATGTCGTTCTGCAGAGGCATAGGAAAGAACACGCTTAGGAGGCAGTTACATCTCAAGAAACCGTGAGCCTCTAAGCAAGGCCCGTGTCCTGTCCTGCCGGTGGAGATGGCATTTTACAAAGTGCCTTCCGTTGCCCAAACCGGTTTGGCTCAGTGGATAGAGCGTCGGCCTGCGGACTGAAGGGTCCCGGGTTCGATTCCGGTCAAGGGCATGTACCTTGGTTGCAGGCACAACCCCAGTGGGGGTTGTGCAGGAGGCAGCTGGTCGATGTTTCTCTCCCATCGATGTTTCTAACTTTCTCTCTCTCTCCCTTCCTCTCTGTAAAAAAATCAATAACATATATTTAAAACAAACAAAGTGCCCTCCTCCTTAGAGGTAATAATAGTTCTTGGAATCTCAGTCTGTCACTCATTGTGTGCCCTCGAATAAGTCCCTTAACCTTTCAGCCCTGGTTTCCTTGTACAATGAAGACAACATACCCAGCTCAGGGCTTGTGGGAAGAGGAGCCTGGGTGAATAATGCAGACGAAGGACACAGCTTCCCGCAGGTAGCCACATGGACCGAATGACAGGATGGTTATTATTTTGCACACCTTATGCTACTGAGGTCTTACAAAAGCTCTGTCAGGAGGCAACTCCTTCTCAGAGGGACCGGGAATCACATCCAGGCACATGAATGGATGTTCCCATCGCAACGAATCCTCTTGGTCGGGGAGGCCCTACGTCCCATTGGCTAATGCAGGGGCTGCCCCGCAAGATCCCAAACGAAGTGCACTCCTGTGTTTTCATGGTAACCAGCATTTTTTAAAATCCAGTTTATTTTTTTCCTTGTTTTCCTCCATGAAACACTCAGGCACCTGTACCTGGCAGTCTGTACTAGACATGCATGTCCTCCTGCTGGGGAGATGGCAAAGTCACAGAGAAGGGAGGAGGCCCAGAAAGAGACAGTTGTAGGCATTTTTACCATGTGCTAGACATGAACACCGGCATCTTTTTAAAAAAAAAAAAAAATAAAACAATATATAAAAGAGCCTCACGTTAAATATTATGACCTCCTAGTTTGTGTGTTTATGTGTACAATGTTAAGTGATTTTTCTAGTCTTCCGAGGCAGATGCTGCCTCTTGCCCCAGAGCAATGCTGCTACTCCCTGTAATGAGAACCAGCCTGCCATCCAGCACCAATCACCGTGCTCCCTCCGCATGCAGGTATCAAAGCCTCTTTTCTAGTGAACACGTTGGCCCCAGGTTCTCTCAAAGTTTTCATCTCTCAGTACACGGACGTGTAAAATAATAATTTGTGAGAGATGAAAAATATCCAACCAAACTGGACATCACCTTTGAGTTTCTAATTTTCCCAACATTGATGTTTTTAGTTGGGAATATTTTTGTTACAAAAGTTATTTCCTTAAAGCATAAGTCATCAGAAAAATGAAGCAACTCTCCAGACATTTCTTTTTCTTCTTCTTCTCTTGCCCTAAATTAAAGGAGGCCCAGGGACCAGATCTGCCTTCTTCCCTAGCTTGGCTAGATGAGTTTGAGTTGCTCCCTTTCTAGGGCCCATCTTAAAAGGAGGCAGTTGGACTTAATGACCTCTAAGGTCCCTTACAGCTTTGAGGTGTTAAAATTATATTCAGGCCAAACCATGAACATTGCCAGCAGCGTCCCAATGGATTGTAAACCTAAGACAATGACCAACGTGTGGCAAGTAGCATAGCCAAAAACAAAACAAAACAAAACAAAACAAAACAAAAAACCAATACAGTCCCCTAAATACCAAGCTTTGCAGTGTATAATTTTGCTTTCTCCAGGAAACTAGCTAATCAAACTGGAGGCAAATCTGTTCCCATGGTTTACCTTTGCTCAATACATGCACTCAAGAATGAACTTCAGCCCTAACCTGTTTGGCTCAGTGGATACAGAGTTGACCTGTGGACGTAAGGGTCCCAGGTTCAATTCTGGTCAAGGGCATGTACCTTGGTTGTGGGCACAACCCCAGTAAGGAATGTGCAGGAGGCAGCTGATCAATGTTTTAACTCTCTATCCCTCTCCCTTCCTCTCTGTAAAAAAATCAAAAAAATATATTTTTTAAAAAAGAGTGAACTTCAAGAGTAACCCAGCCTGCAATAGTGTTCTGCCTAAAAGTTTTATTTGCCCTCTGCCTAAAAGTTTTATTTGCCCTGCAAAGCAAAGCAAAGCAAAAAAAAAAAAAAAAAAAAAAAAAAAAAAAAAAAAAAAAGGGAGGGCAAATTTGGCAGTATATTTCAAGAGCCATGAAATGTTCATTGCCTCTGACCAAGTAATCCACTCACTGGAATTTATCTGAAAGAAAAATTCAATAGGAGAATAAAACTGTATGCATGAAGGTATTTTGTATAAGCATTATCTATTTTAAAAAACTGGGAAAAGATAAATGGAGGAAGAACAGAGGAACCGGTAAGTAAAAAATAGTATGTCCACGCAATGGAAGACTCTATAGACATCAGAAAGGACAAATACTAACGCTATGAAGCAATATGGGAAAATACATAACATCACATTAAATAGAGAAAAGAACATGAAATGGTCTCTAAGCTGTGATTACATCTATGTAAAGATTATTTCTTCGTCTAGAGAAAGATGAAAGAAAACGGAAAAGTGAAAATATTTATGAGACTATCAAATAGCATTTTCCTTATTAAAAAAAAAATTCCAGGCTAATGCTATTTGTATAACAAACCATGTTAAAATAGGACAAATGGGGATTCAGTCCTTCGTGAGGACTGCTAGCCGCAACCTGATCACACAATCATCTTGCTGATAGTACATTCTATTGATACTGAGCCATCTCAAATTAGGTTCATAGCTCAGAGGAGAGATGCTTCTCCCAGAATAAAATAGCAGTCCATTGATTTAGGCTTTCCCTTCCTTTCCGTGCCTCATGTCTTGAATTATACTCAGGATACCATATTCACGATCAGGATAAAGAAACTGAGCAATGTTGTTGGCTGGATTTCGGGACAGAGTTGATTATGGAGCCTTGTAACCAGACTTTCTCATGGCCAAACTCACAAAAGGTGCCTCTGAGTTTTCCCTGCTCTCCAACCAGTGGTGACTGCTCAATAACTATGGCAACCATTATTTATTCAGTGAATTCAAGTGGAGATCGATACCTCCTGCCAGCTGGATCAACCCTAGGCCTGGAATTCCTTGAGGAATTCAGAGACACTCCTGTTAGAAGCCAGAGGCACCTCCTTTGTTGTTCTGAACAGCTACTGGATTTGTGGCTTCTTTACTTTTTCAAAAGGGCTGAGATAAAATTCAGTCTCCATGCAAACTACTGCCAGCAGCCAGCAAGGTTTTTCAAATCACTAGGGAGTCACTAAGTGTCTAGGCGCTTCCTAGTAATTTGAAATTCCTCAAAACCCCAATCACTGACAGTTCAGCTTAAGGGACCCCCTTTCTTCTCGCAGCTCGGTAAACATGGTTGCAGAGCTGATATTCAGAGAGTTCGCTAACTCGGGAGGAAATCAGACATTTGAATTACCCCTGTGTGTAATAGGAATTACACACAGATTTTAGTTTTAGATCTTTGTCCACCATTAAACAAAACAAGTTTCTCGGTGCTTCTTGCATTTTCATCTACATCATTTTTATACAATACTTCAGTATTCTAACTCAGCTTTATGTAAGTCAAAACTTTAAAACACAACTTCTAAAAATGGTTAAGGAGCGAATTTAGGTGTCAGAACCAAAACGATTTGAGTCATTTAGTTCCAACTCCCACCTAAGATAAGAATCTCCACTACAAGACACTACAGAGAATGCCAGGCACCGGCTGGACTAGTTCACTATTTCACTTGATAACAAAAATACAGGGGTGAGCAAAAGTAGGTTTACAGTTGTTCCTATGGAAAATAATGAAATAATTAATACATAATAATACAAGAATAAATTCCCTTTTGCATACTCACAACTGTAAATCTACTTTTGCTCACCCCTGTATATGTATATATATTTAAAATATATTTTATTGATTTTTTTTTACAGAGAGGAAGGGAGAGGGATAGAGAGTTAGAAACATCAATGAGAGAGAAACATCAACCAGAGAGAAACATCAACCAGCTGCCTCCTGCACACCCCACACTGGGGATGTGCCTGCAAAGGTACATGCCCTTGACCGGAATCGAACCTGGGACCCCTCAGTCCGCAGGCCGGCGCTCTATCCACTGAGCCAAACCGGTTTTGGCTATATTTGAAAGCATTTTGTACTACACTTTTACCTACATTATTTTATCACACCCTCACCCTACCCTTCGGATTAGGCAGGACACACCTCATCTTTGTTTAATAGATAAGGTAAGGCTCAGGGAGTTAAGTTACTTGCCCATGGTCAAAATTTACAAGTGGTTCATTTCTTTCCCTCCAAATCCTGAAATACCAGGCTGCCTTGAACATTATGTTAGAATGTCCCTCCTCCTTCAGCCTCCCTGTAACTCCCTCCTACACGTTGTGTACCTCATTAACTAATTGATTAATTACTTCTTTCCACAAATATTTATTGAGGACCTACTTATAGCCACTGGGGTTAGAGCAGTGAACAAAACACACCACAGATCACGCTTCTAACCTGTGTGGTACCTAAGGACACTGCTGGCTTACTGTGTATTTAGCTATCCATGCCATAGGCATCTCTGCAAAGAGAGAGAAAGGGAGGCAGGAAGAAGAGGAGAGAGAGAGGAAAGAGATTTTAACTTCACCTAGTTAAAATCTCCTCATTCTTAAATCACAGATCAAATTGTTTTTCAAGCAAGTTTTTCCCTTTTATTCTCAGTCTAGATTATTTTTTTTTCTATTGTTTTTCTCTGAAGGATATAGAATCAGATATATGTGACTATGACCTGCCTCCTCCTTTAAATGTAAGCTCCATGGGGGCACGGATTGTGTTTGCTCATTGTCACATCTCCAGCACCAAGCCTACTGCCTAGGAGACGCCAGAAGCACAGAGACCAGGCCCCACAGCGGATTCACTCTCACGCTCACTCCAGGACATACAGTCACTGAGTACAACAGCCTGTCCTCTTTTTCTCTTCTTGCTATGAAATTTTATATGTGGTTTAACAAATGCTCAAAGCAATTCCATGGTACCTGCTTTTCCCCAAAAGGGGCTGACGTGTTCTACTGCCATGACCTTGCTCTGCTGCTCTTGCCCTTGGTTTGCTGTGTCCTTCCTCTATACCTTGCCATGTCTAGAAACCACCTCCTTGCGAAGTCATTCATGATTAGCACCTCCATCTTTCTACACCCCCAACACGTTAGCAGTAATCTGGACTTCCCCTGCACTGACTTGGTCCCTTTTAAGGACCGGAGCACTAACCGCCATACATGAGTCCATTGCATCATAATCAGATATGACTTCCTAGTAACCTATATACTTTCTGACAGCAGAATTCGGGCATGGCTCATTGTTGCATCCCTGGAGACTGACACTGTGCCTGAAATATAGACAGCGCTCCATATTTGTTTAATGAATGGATACTTATGAACTGACAATGTCACACAAACTTTCTATTGGGGGGGAAGGGCTTCTTATTTACTAATCACAATGAACTGCAACTAGATGATCACCTCCTTGGTATCCCATCAGGAGCTAAGCCCTTTCATTACTCCTCGGACAGGGATATGGCACTGGCAGAGAGGAATGGCTAGGGTGGATGAACTGGGACCTAAAAACATTTCACAGCCATAACTGCGGGGAACCCCCTTTTACTGTACGGAGGAAGAGAGATCAGAAAGAAACCATTTCCTGCCCCACCTCTCCACCAGTCACATAGAGAGAGGTGGGGGAAGAAGAAGGAAAAGAAAGAGAGAGAGAGAAAAAAAAAGCCAAGTTTGTACAAACTAGCAATACTGTCCAGATTCTTAATTTTCCCAGAAGCCAGACGGGTTTGACTTGAAAGATCCCGTTTCCTTTCATGCGTTCACTGTGGTTTAGGAACAGACAATTCGGGGCTGTCTTGTTCTCTGATGCCAAGAGCCCGAGTGATATCCCACAATCACCCTTTTTGACCCAACGGAGTTCATTCAGAAGTCAAGATTTCATGGGAGCCCGTGTTCAAACGAAATTAATATCTACAACAAGGCATACTGCTGCTTCCCAGGCGTTGTCTATTCTGCCACTTCCTGGTGATTCCACACATTTCGAACTCCTTCCCATCCAGCAAATCACAAAAAGAATGCTGTCAGGTCCAGAAAGGAGAGACGGGGGACTTATGTTATAACCTCAGCATCTAAAACAACCCGCTCTGCACGGGCTGGCAGGGCTGCAGGCAGGACCTGGAACTCCACCATACAAGACTTGGCCTCTGTTAAGTGCAGCTTAATTACTTTAGAATTACTGTCCTTTTTTGAGCCTCTCTCAAACACCCAAGGAGAAATTCATCAAACACACTGCCTGTTTCCTCATGCACTGAGACTGATTTTGGACCCCAAAGGGGAGGGACAGGCATATGCCTATTTGAGGGAGTCCCTGTCACCATCCTTCCAGCATGGAATGACTGCCTATTCTGAATTCAGTTTGGCTGCCTCACAAACCTAATTTTTTTTAAAAATATATATTTTTTATTTATTTTACAGAGAGGAAGGGAGAGAGATAGAGAGCTAGAAACGTCGACCAGCTGCCTCTTGCACACCCCCTACCGGGGATGTGCCCGCAACCAAGGTACATGCCCTTGACCGGAATCGAACCTGGGACCTTTCAGCCCGCAGACCGATGCTCTACCCCTGAGCCAAACCAGTTTCGGCCACAAACCTAATTTTATGTCATCCTTACTGCTGCCTCATAGAATACATGTTGCTTTCCCCATGTTACAGGTGCGGAAACAAGTTCAGAGAAATAAAACGCATCACTCCATGGCACCTGCTTATTAAATAGGGGGTCCCAGATTAAAACCTGGGGGAGGCGCTGGACCCAAAGTCCATGCTATGTCTGCCATTCCAGACTGCCTCCTTCCAGAGCACGCCTCCACACAATGGGCAGCAGGCTGAGCAGCCATAACCACAAGACACACAGCACCGTGCAGGCAGAGACAGGACTGGCACACCTTCTCCTAATCCCTGCTCTGTATTCTCAGCACTGAACCGGCCAATGTTCTCCATGTTGGGGCTTCCTGGCCTCACAGTTGCCTACTAATATTTACTTGACTTTGGACCCTCCTCTTAAACTACTAAGCTCTCACACCTGGACAGGCCTTTTCCCCCTGAGTCTCTTTTCTGCTATAATTTGTGCTCAAAACCCACTGCCAGGGCAGATCTTTCTAAAGGGCAAGCTTTCACATGATGCTCTTCTGGTCAAAGCTTTCCTGTGGCTCCCCATTGCTCTCAAGATAACCTGGAACCTTCTCACCTATGTGACAAAGGTTCTTCATGTCCAACCCCACCCTTACCTATTGTGTCAATCTTATTTCCCATCACTCTACTCTCGTTAGAGATTTCCTTCCTGAAACTTGTAACAGCCATAGTTTCAATGGCTTTAGTAATTTTTTGTTTGTGCCTAGAAATCACGCTCCTTTCATTTTAGTTTGGTGACATTGTACCCTCTTTTGAGAAGACCTCGTGTGACCTCTTTTGAGAGACCACCCCCCACCTTTGGTCTCTCAGGACTTTGTACCCAATCCCTCATCCCCACCCTGGCATCCAATGCCCTGAATCACATGCATCATCTCTGAAAACCTACTGACATGCCAGAGTGCCTACATCAGCGAACACTTGTTGATTAACTACAGAGATTTGCTGATTTCCATAGAGATGTGGCAATGTACTGGGTTTATTTACAGAAAGCCAAGGCTGACTATAGATTGTATTTCTCAGTGTTATTTTTTTTTTCTTTTCTTTTTTTAAATGAACTAAACTCCATACTCTCCAGTTTTGAATGTTTAAATGTCCTAGGAAGAGCTGAATGGTTTTGAAATTGAGCTGAAGAGCTTTAGTTGAAAGACAGCCTTTGAACCCATTTCATTCCAGTCCTGCTGGCCTGATATGCTTGTCCTTGAATGTGCTTATTATTTTTCTTAGGGTGCTCCTGTGTGCCATTTGGAAGTTCTTTTAATGGAGTCCATATCCTTTAAGACTGTCTTTATTTTTGATGTGCTAATGTCTCCCTTGGACATCTCTGTCAGGTCCCATCAAAAGAAGGGAGTTTCTCAGCCAAGAAGAAAGACCACCAGGAGGAGGTAAAGTCCCACTTGGAATTCCGAGGGAATAAGCTAGTGTCTGATTCCTACTGTAGTACATGCCATTTAATTGTCTTTGCCTCCATGTGCATCGTTCGGGGATGAACCAGCCTAGCATCTTAAGGTACTCAGACATACCTCACGTTGGCTAACAGTGAGGCCCCAAGAAGGTGCATGGAAACAATGCACATCTCTGATGACCAGAAAGAAGGGCCCATCTTGCCAAAGGATGCATTTGGTCCCCTGTGAGATCATCACCTGCCTGAAAAGCATGTTTTCTACCATCAAGAGGGTATTGAATCTGAACCTGTTCTTAGTCCAATAGCCTAGGCTGGGCTTCAGTCTGATGAAAAGAATGGGAGGTGAGCCCGAGGTGTGGCTAGCCTCTTAGGGAGCGTCCACCTGTTGTCACTGCCTCACCAGGCCCCAGTCTGGCCAAGAAGGATGAGATCACACTGGAAGTTCTGAAAATATCAAGACATAAAGGGAGCTCGGGCCTTGGGTCTTAGGACCAGCCCCAGAGAGATGGAATCTCCTCTCTTATCTGATATGCCTTTCTAGTTCTCTCTCTCATTCCCCCCCACCCCACCACTTTCTCATTCCATCTTGGGACCATTTATGTCCCCAAAGATAGAAAGAGAGACACATCTAAGGTCAGAAAGGCATAATATAGAAATCAAGTAAGTTTTATGTTTGTTTCTTCTTTTAAATATTATTGAATTGAGCCATTTTTGCTGTGTACAAGTATCCATTCTCTCACTCCCCTGCCAATCAAAGTTGTAAATCAATAAATAGAGGTGTGTTTTATATGTGTAGTACTTTGGTTTTACTTTAGGTCGATAGCCAAGGACTAGAGAGAGGGGAAGACTCGCCCCTCAGTCCCACAGGAGCAGGCTGGTTAAGCTAATCTTCCTTTGAAACCCGCGTGAAAATAACCCTGGAGCAGCAGTGCAACGCTCAGCAGAGCGCCTGTGGAAATTTAGATGTTCATATATTAGGCTTGTTGGCAATGATAACTCAATAGGAATCCTCTCTCTCCTGGAGGTTCATGACAACACATTGCAGATATACGTCTCCTGTTTAAACTAAGGAAAATGTCGCAGATTTCAGAACAGTGGCAAGTCTGCAATTTTCCTAATTTGCTGGTGTGTATGCCAGCCAGAGCCAGACTCCACCTTATCACAGGAAAGGGGAGAGAGGGGGATGTGGTCCTTTCGGGTGACAGCAGGGTGGTGCTTACCTGTGATCATGCTCAGCGCTGACAGGCATGCTAAGGCTTGGATATCAAGGTTCAGGCTCTGCAAACTTAAGGAAAAGTCTTTAATGGAGTCGAGCCACTCCCCAAATCCACGAAGGCACTGAAGTCGGTGCAGGACAAGTCCATTGCAGAACACAAACTTATCTTCAGCAGTGTTTGACCTACATGAGAAAGTCATGGGGGGTTGGGGATAGAAATACATTAAAATAGGTTCACTCAGTCTATCCAATGGGATAACATTGTAACACATGGGCCCGCACACAGCCACGGGTGCAGTGTTCAGAACCCAGGGTGGTGCCGTTAAACCTGCCCAAACACCCTGGATGAACACCCACCACCACTTGTCTATGCTAACTTCCTGAGTGAGCGAGCACCCACCCCTGGGGAAGCTGCCAGACTCCGTTGTGGGCTCACCTTGCTTCCCACAATGGAGTTTAGAGGACTATTTCTATACCTGCCCTGGAAGTGTATATTCTCTCATGAAAGGTGCCCCGCATCCTCCAGTGGTGATGTCCAACTAGATTCACCACTCAGCCGTGGGGCTCTGGGCACTCCTTTTCTCTCCCTGGCTTTCCTTTTCCTTATGAATAAACACGAGTTCTAATGGCTACCTTCTAAGATTATTGTGGGAATTGATAAAATATAGGATCTGAAATCATGCACAATGCCTGGTATACCAGAGGAGTAGTAGGTGTAATTAATTCTCAATTCTATGTGGTCCTAACTTTAATCTTAGCCTTCCTTTCATTTCCAAATTGCTTTCCACATACTTATCCCTTTCAGCCTACTGCACTAACAAGTTCATATCTCTAACTGTGCCTCTTGGGTGAAGAGTTTCATTCATTCGTTCACTAGTCATTCCTTCACTGAGCACCACGTAGGTGCCATGCCGAGAGCCAGGCATTGGAGGAAATGGGGTGACTAGAGCAGGTAGAGTGCTTGCTCACAAGGAGCTCATCATTCGCTCAATCCTATGCTGCCTGCCTAACAGATGATAGTCACATCGTTGGCTTGGCTCCTGCGTACTGCCTCTCCCACAGATGCTTCCACCGGGGTACACAATGACCTCTCAATCTCAGAGTTTAAAACCTGGACCTCAGCCGAAACCCGTTTGGCTCAGTGGTAGAGTGTCGGTCTGCGGACTGAAAGGTCCCAGGTTCGATTCCGGTCAAGGGCATGTACATTGGTTGCAGGCACATCCCCGGTAGGAGGTGTGCAAGAGGCAGCTGGTCGCTGTTTCTCTCTCATCGACGTTTCTAGCTCTCTATCCCTCTCTCCTCCTCTCTGTAAAAAAATCAATAAAATATATTTAAAAAAATAAAAGTAAAAAATAAAACCTGGACCTCAGACCACCGGCATCAAACACTGGAGCATGAGTTAAAATGCAGATTTGTGGGCTTCTAAAACAAACAAATATAGCTGGGAATGACGCCTGGGAATCTGCACTTTAAACAAGAATTTCTGCTAACACAATATGAAATTGAAGGGGAGGGTAAGGAAGAGAATGAGGGGAAAAGGACTTTCCTTATAATATTTGGTGAAATGTTGGTACCATCTTCTAAAATGATATAACGGCAGGGAAGCAAGGAATTTAAAGTGTTCCTCATGCTGAGATTCTAGGTCCTGGCTTTTTGGAAAAGTACTTCTGCTTTGTGTTTGGTGTCCCTGAGCATGAAGGTTGAACCGAAGCTTTTGATCTGGGAGCTATTCTCTTGGAGTAAACACTGGGGGTTGAGAGGCAGTGGGAACTCTTTAGAGCCCCATCTGGTGTACTGGAACGGGGACTTGTAAATAGAAACCTGTGAGGTAAATGCAATGTTCTCAACAAATACATGCTCCCGGGAAATACCTTATGCACCATGAGACTCTATAGAATCCCAGAGAGCTGGCATTACCAGGAGCTTCGGAGATCACCACACCCAGCCTCCTCATTTTACAAAGAAAGGGAACTGAACTTCTGATGAGATAAGTGACCTGGTCAGGGTCGTACAGCAATCCATGAGGGTAGAACCCAGGAGTCCTGGCTTCCAGTCCAATGCACTACCCATTACTCAGTTTTTAAATGCCTGATCACATTTGATATTTCCTTCTTGAGCAACCTTCTTCCCGAGGACCCATTTGCAAACACAGCAGATTTCCAAGTTCTTCAAAGGAAGGAGTGGACTGAGGTAGATAAAATAATAGTAATTACCTGATGGAAAGTCTGAGAACGAACAGCTCCAAAAAGGCTGATTCTATAAGTAATGTCTGATCTTCTTTGGGGAGATCAGTGAATCCAGGGATCTTTTCTGCCCAGCTTCTGGATACGTCAATGGAGGCTGTCAGGAGGTTGTAGAACTGTTGTACATGCTCAGCATCTGTACCTGCAGTGGCCTGGTCAGAGGAACAGTACTAGAATGCAAACCACAGGCAACAGTGTTAACTCGGTTCAACGGGGATGACAGCATCCTTTGCAAATGGGCTCTCCCAAGGCTGTCTAATCCTTACTTTTAGCTCCCACGGTTGCATTCATGGTCTCATTTGATTCTCACAGTGGTCCCATGATAAAGAGTGAAGGCTGTTACCATTTAATAAAGAAATTTGCTGAGGTCCCATCAGTGCGGTGGTTTTCAGTCCTGACTGCAATCCTCTGGGGAGCTTTAATAAACACTCATGTCTGGGTCATCGCTACAGAGATTCTAATTCCACTGGTCTGGGTTGAGGACTGGTCATCAGGTGATTCCCAAGGGCACCAGTGTTGAGAACCAGTATCTCAGGGGGTTTGTGTCTGAGTGAACCTCCCTCACCTACTGACTCCACTAAAGTACAGCTGCCTCCAAACAAGATGCTTCATTAATCCATGGTTCTCAAAGTGTGGTCCCTGGACCAGCAGCATCAGCAACACCAGGGAATGTACCAGAAAAGAACATTGAGTCCTACCCCAGGCCTACAGAATCAGTAACACTGCGAGTTGGCCTAATACCCTGTTTGATCAAGATTTCCAGGTGATTCTCATGCACACTGAAGTCTGGAGATGACAGAATTAAGGGATAGGAGAAGAGAATGATTTCCGCTTGCTGTAGATAGATTTCTGTGAGGCAAGACAAACCAGGAAGAGGAAAAGGGAGGGTGTCTCAGGGGCAGGGCACGGGCGGCTGTGTGCCATCAGACTCGGGACTGTGGCTACTTCAATTAATGAACGTAAAATGAAAATTCAGTTCCTCAGTCACACCAGCCCCATTTCAAGCTCAGCAGCCACCTGTGATACAGAACATTTCCATCACCGCAGAACATTCTGTTGAACAGCATTGATCTAGAAAGTCCCAGGAGAAGAAAGATACAAGTAGGAATAAAGTCTCTGCCCAGCTTTTGGATATTCTGGTAGAGTCAGGATTTTGTCAGAATCACAGGAAGACAAGCTTTCCTACTTCAGGCAAAAAGTTTGATACAGCAAGGTAATCATCAAGGGGCAATCAGCAGCACAGACAGACCTGCACAACACGCATGCGAATAAGCACATCATTCCCTTCAGACTAAGAGCTGCGTCTGCTTTTGCATCCCTTCTCTAGGTTAATCCTCCTGGGGTATGGATTCTAATTCTTCTTTTACAAATGAGGAAACTGAGGCCCAGAGAAGCTCAGAAAGTCCGAGAGTCTCCAACAGTGGTATCGCCAAGACTTCCACGTGACCTTGTGGTTTCCAGGCATGTGGTTAACATGTCTGATGTTTCTTGCTGATAGCCCATAGTATAGCATTTTATTTTGCTCTAATTGGAGGTCTCCAGGTATGTATTCCTTTGGTCCCATGTTTCGTCAGCAGCTCAGTAACTGGCACCTGATTGACTCTCAATCAATAGTTGAATCCTCTTTGATGAAAGAAAGAGTCAGGGGAATGCCTTGGCTTGCCACAATGCCCTAACCTGGCTGGAGGAGAATCAGCCAATAAGCAGGCAGGTCCTTCTTGTAGAACTACTTAGGCATGAGGAAATGAAGCACTTGTCTTAATTGGGCACCCCGGACCCCCCTCACCCTACATCCCCCCCTTTTCTGCTTTCCCAAGAGGCATCATGAAGCAACAAAAGAAACATCGGACAAGGAGCCGAGATACTTTAACCCTTGACTTGTCCAAGCCCCTCATTTGCGAAACAGGGTAGCTGTGCTGCTGACATTAGGTATCTGGGGTAAACGACTCCACTTTTCTGAGCTTCAGTTTTCCCCTCGGTAAAACGGGGACGGTGCCTTTCTCAATATTTTGTTGTGATGATTGCATGTGGTAGCATATGTGGAAGGCCTGACACGTGGAACACATTTCACAGACAATGACAGTGATGCTCCGGATGACGGTGATGATACTTGAAACGCTCACTGTCCCTCAGCCTCCACATTTATAAAATGGGAGAAGGTTTCTATGTTTCAGCCCTGACTATCTAGGATCCTATAACTGTGGTTTGCCAACTGTGGCTCGTGAGCTATATGCGGCTCTTTGGCTCCTTGAGTGTGGCTCTTCCAAAAAATACCATAGTCTGAGCGAGTCTATTTTGAAGAAGTGGCAATAGAAGAAGTTTAAGTATAAAAAATCTGACTCTCAAAAGAAATTTCAATCGTTGTACTGTTGATATTTGCTTCTGATGACTAATGAGTTTGCCGACCACTGTCCTATAACATCAAGTCCAGTTCAGAGCCCTGGATCATCCTCCTTACTGTCCAGACTCTATGAAGCCCCGGATGTTTCTGTAATGGGCTCAATGAACCACGGGAGAGAGAACCAGTCTTCCTTCCTATGAATAGTCAAGGATGGCAGCCTGATTCTGGTTCCAGATACTCCCCATCACCTCTTTCAGTTCACACTGTCTGTATTAATTGCAGGAGAGTGGGAAAGGGGATTTTATTTTGCTTGCTTTCTTTCTCCTCTGATATTAATCTAATTCCACATGCTCTATAAGGGCAGGATGAAAAGCAGGGCAGGACGACAGTTAGAAAGCTGACAGCGCTACATGTGAAACCCCCAAAGGAGTGATAACATGGAGCAGAGGCAGCGATCATGGGGCCCTCCTCCAGGCTCAGGCACTGACTTGCTGTGCAGCCCTAGACAAGTCACCTCACTTCTCTGGGCCTGTTTCTGCCTCTGAAGTAGGAAGTGACTGCCTTAGCAGATCCCTAAGATTCCTTCTGCCTCTTGCGTGCAGCCATTTTTCTGTTATTGATTTCTTTTCTTTCTTTTTTAATTGTTAAGATGTGTTTTATGGCCCAGACTATCAGCAGTCCTGGTGAATGTTCCATGTGCTGGCTCTTGCATGCAGTGATTCTAAATGTGGTAATCACACAGGTATAAAGTTATTGCCTGGACTTAAATTTTTTTTTCTTTATTGATTAAAATATTACATATGTATCCTTATCCTCCCTTTGTTCCCCTCCCCCCCAACACACACACACACACACACACACACACACACACACACACACTCATGCCCTCACCTCCCTGGTGTCTGTGACCATTAGTTAGGCTTATATACATTGCCTAGAATTTGACCTCGATTCAGGATTGTTTTGTTTTAAAACAGCGAGTAAAATGGAGAGAAAAAGACCAAAGAATGCAAACTTTTTCCTGGGCATGGGACCTCACAGCTCCCTCTTGCACTGACTTCCCTGAAACCATGGCTCACAACTCAATAATCTCTGTCTGTGCTTCCAATATTTGCTCACCATCCGCCAGAGCACTTAGCTTTCGCCCAGGGTCCCCCGCAGGCCTCTGTCCCTGCTGGGCTCACATTTCACGCATCCTGCACACGGGGAAATGCGGCCCCTGCCTGCCCTGCGTGTGCTGTTTTCCCTGATGAGGCCCAGCAAGGAGAAAAGCCAGCGGGCCGGGCATGCCAGGCTCCAGCCAGGCCCTCTGGGCTTCCCCTGCGACGATTCTAGTCCACGTTCCAGTATTCTGGAGCCTAACTGGATTCCTGGGCCACCAATAACTTGGGGGTGAATGGAGGGTCAGCATCCAGTGCTGAGGGAAAAGACAAACCAAGTATCCCCTCTACTGAATAGAGGACGAAGAAACATAACAAAACATTAAAAAAAATTTTTTTTCTCTGCCTGACCTAGCACTTTATAAAAACCCCACCAAGGACTGCTGGACCTGAAGTTGGAAGAACCACCTCCCCATTTCTGCTTGTGTGCGCCCCTACATTACTCTCTCAGGGCCAAGCAGGTTTGGGGTTCACCAAAGGAAGTCTAGAAATATTTGTTTATTGATCAAACATAGGCCACATAGAGAAAGACTTTAGAAATGAATCCTAACTTTTTATTCTCGTCTGTATGGATAACTGACCCATCAAAAATCAGGCTTTCTCCATAGCCAGTTTGGCTCAGTGGATAGAGTGTCCTGGGTTTGATTCCTGCCAAGGGCACATGCCTGGGTTGCATGCTAGATCTCCAGTGAGGGGTGTGTAGGAGGCAGCCAATCAATGATTCTTTCTTATCATTGATGTTTCCATCTTTCTCTCCCTCTCTCTTTTTGAAATAAAAAAAAATTATTTTTTTAAAATAGGGCTTTACAACTAGTCAAAGATACAGTATTATATTTACTGATGTCTAATGGTGATTTCACCAAAGCACCTGGAATGAGAATCTAGAGCTACAAACAACAGTGAAAGCTATTTAATCTGAAACGAGTCTACACATTTTATATGGCAATAATGTGGCTACACAGGTCAGATGTGAGGCAGAACCTAGGCCGAAAGTGAATTACTTGAATGGGAACACCAGCCCTAAAAAAAAATTAGCAATATGATGCTGTCATAGCAATGTGGAATCTGGCGTTTACTCTATCTCACTTATCAGTCCAGGCTAAACATGTAAAATATCCTAAGAACATTTTATCTCCCCTTACAGTGTTACTTTTCCCTGGGTCTTTATATAGTTTAGATGAGATCACTCTAGAAGCCAAACTATGTATACATATTCTTAGGTTCTTACACTTAAAAATTGGCAGTGAATATATTTCCCCCCATATTTACTCCTTTCTTATCTAATTAACTCACCTTAAAGACAAAACCAGAAACAAATAAACAAACTGCTCCCCCTCCCAATGGCATTACAATTATTTGGTTACTTTCTCTTTCCTTCACGAAGATAGGAGCATTTTTTTTGTTTTGTTTTTTTAATCCACACCTGAGGAGTGGATATTTTTTCCATTGCTTTTCAGAGTGGAAGGAAGGAGGGAGAGAGAGAGAGAGAAGAGAAACATTGATGTCAGAGAGACACATCGATTGGTTGCTTAGCACCTCTCTTCCTCACCCCCGCCCTCCGGACTAGGGGTGGGGATCAAACCTGCAACCCAGGTATGTGCCTTTGACTGGGAATAGAACCTGTGACCTTCTGGTGTGCAGGCCGATGCTCTTACCACTGAACAATGCT